GAACCAACTTCCAAGAGAGGTGGTGCAGGCTCCTACCCTGGGGGTTTTTAAGAGGAGGTTAGATGAACACCTTGCTGGGGTCGTTTGACCCCAGTACTCTTTCCTGCCATGGCAGGGGGTCGGACTAGATTTGCTCAGGTCCCTTCCGACCCTAGAAACTATGAAACTTCAGGTATGTTTGACATCTGGATTCTGCTAATGCTTCATGCTTCAAAACTATCTGCCTAAACTCATGTCTTCCATAGGTCATGTTGGAGCCCCTCTGGCTTGTAACATTATAAAGCTAGAAGATGTTGAAGAAATGAACTATTATTCTGCCAATAATGAAGGAGAGGTAGGTACTTCATATGAAGCAATGCAGCTTTAGTCTGGGATAATACAACAACCTAAAAGGAGATGACTAGCAGTCTTTTTTTATACTTGTAGGTTTGCATCAAAGGGCCAAATGTATTCCAAGGTTATTTGAAAGATCCTGAGAAAACAGCAGAAGCCCTGGACCAGGATGGCTGGCTTCACACTGGAGATATTGGGAAATGGATGCCAGTAAGTGGTTTTTGTGAAGCCCTCCCCTTTCCACCCCACCCCCCACCCCCAAACCTGAAAACTTGACACCAGAATCCTTATAATGTTAGCAAAGAGGCTTTTGATGCATTAGATACTGACAATCTGGCTTGGCTTGTGTCTTTTTGGCAGGCATGCCAAAAATTTAACTCTACCTTCCTGAGTGTCACTGATTCCCTTCTCCTGTCTGATCTGCCCATGCCATCTATGGCATATGATGCAGGTTGGCCACTTCTGTTCTACTTGTGAAAGCAGATATAGAGTTAAGCTAGCCTAACTGGACTAGACGTAGACTACATGGATGTTAAAACTGCTAGGGTGGAGGAACTTTATTTCCATATTGGAGATGGGTTGAAGACTTGCAATACTTGGTGTCATTAGGCCAAACTAAACAACATCTCTTGAAAGAAGTTTATCTGCATTATACTGAAGCAGTATTGGAACACACTTCAGTATTCAATGTCTAGGTAGAGGCATTTGAGTCCATCCAAATTGGACCCTTCCTCAGCTGGGAACAAGCCATGAGCTACGTGACTTTTCCATCGTAAAAAACGTAATGAGAAACAATACTCAAAAGACCAATTTGCTAGCAAGGTTCTCCACAACACCTGCCAGGCATACAATTAAAACTTAAAGTGTGATTCTACTTCTTTAATTATGATCTCACTTTGACTGATCATAATAACTATCAAAGAAAACTGCTTCCCAGTCTTGCCCTAAGCTAATTAAAAGAAACTATCAAACTTTTTCACAATCCCAGGGAGAAAACACTGCAAGGCAAGGAAAAGTCAACTACAGAATGGAATTATTCTAACCTAGGCCTAGCTTTCACGAAAACAAGCTTCCCTTGGGAGGGGGGTAGTTGTTGGATAGTTCTGCATCATCTGTGTACTTCCTAATGCTGAAATGTCATTGCTGTAGAATGGAACTCTGAAGATCATTGACAGAAAGAAGAACATCTTTAAGTTGGCACAGGGGGAGTATGTCGCACCAGAAAGAATAGAAAATATCTACATCAGAAGTTCTCCTGTATCGCAAGTTTTTGTCCATGGGGAAAGTCTGAGGGTAAGCTGCCTTTCTGCTCTGGTGGTGCTGTGTAGTACTATTCCAACACTGTTTGGAACCAAAATACTTTGGGCCTCTTGCCCCCTTTCCATCCCCACAGTGTGGCTCTTCCTTGAAACAACAAATAGCATCCTCCTTAATAGACTCACTAACAAAACTGCCTTTTTTTAGCCTTTATTCTAGAAGAGATTCCCTGTTCTTCCTGATAGACACTATTGTAGATATCTTGCATTGGTCTTGTAGTAGTTTCATAGTAGTTAGGGATCAGCAGGGACCTGAATAGATCACCTAGTCTAACCCCCCGCCACTGGTTGGAGCACATGCTGGGATCACACTACCCCAGACAGGTGTTCATCCAACCTCTTTCTGAGTTTACCCAAGGTAGGAGCAATGACCACTTTCCTAGGAAGTTGGTTCCAGATCCTAGCTACCCTAACAGTGAAATAGTGCCTCCTAATCTCTAACCTGAACCTATTCTCCAGCAGCTTGTGGCCACGATTCCTTGTCACCCCAAGGTGCTGCTGATCTCCCCTAATGAGTTTGTAGGGAGCCACCAAATCCCCCCTCAACCTCCGCCTGCTAAGGCTGAGCAGTTTCAGGTCCCTCAGTGTCTCCTCATAGGGCCTGCCCTGTTGCCCTCCAAGTGGGTGGCCCTCCTCTGAACCCTCTCAAGGCAGGCCACATCCTTCTTAAAGTGTGGTGCCCATAACTGGATGCAGTACTCCAATTGAGGCCTGACCAATGTCATGTAGAGGGGGAGTATCACCTCTCTAGACCAGCTTGAGATGCAGCTTTTGGATGCACGACAAGGTGCAGTTGGCTTTGCTGGCTGTGGTTTGGCATTGGTGGCTCATGTTCATCTTGGAGTTGATAATGACTCCAAGATCCTGTTCTGTCTCTGTGCTCTCAAGAGGGGAGCTCCCCAGCCTGTGCGCGTGCTGTGGATTCCTTCTCCCCAGGTGCAACACCCTACATTTATCTACATTGAACCCCATCCTGTTACCATCTGCCCACTTCTGTAGTCTGTCTAAATCTAATTGCAGCCTCTCTCCCCGTTTGAGCATGTCTACCTCTCCCCACATCTTGGTGTCATTGGCAAACTTGGACAATGTGTTTTTCCACCCCCTCGTCCAAGGTGCTGATGAAGATGTTGAACAGTGTAGGCCCCAGAACCGAGCCCTGGGAGACCCCACTGTTCACATCCCGCCAGGTCAAGTACAACCCATCCACCACCATTCTCTCTCTGGGTGTGCCCCACGAGCCAACCTTTGACCCATCTAACTGTGTAGGCATCAATGCCACAGTCTCTCAACTTATTAATGAGAATGGGGTGAGACTGCGTCAAAGGCCTCCTTAAAATCCAGAAAGACTACGTCCACAACAACATCATCCAGGGATTAAGTTACCTGGTCATAAAAGGCCATCAGGTTGGTCTAGCAGGATCTGCCTTTGAACCCATGTTGTGGATCTCCCCTGCTGGCCCCTCACAGATGTGCTCTTTGGTTTTTTGTTTTTTTTTTCTCAAGGATTTTCCCTGAGACTGATGTGAGGCTTATAGTTTCCTGGGTCCATCTTTCTTATAGATGGGGACCACAATAGCTAGTTTCCAATCTCCAGGCACCTGGCCCGTGGACCACAATCACTCGTACAGCCAGGCCAAGGGTACAGCAATGACTCCTGCCAGCTCCCTCAACACTTGTGGGTGGAGGGCATCGGGGCCTGAAGATTTTAAAAACATCCAGCCCTTCCAGGTTGGGAGATAAGTGGCCTAGAAACTTGTGGATCACTTTAATATCACCTAAACTGACTGGCTTTCAGAACTATGACAATGGATATCTGCAATAAAACTCTCACTAAACTTTTTGGGCTAGCTTAAAACTGCTACCTTCAATGGTTAGCACCAGACCAAAACACTCATTCAAATAGTAAAGTTATTGTATAACATGACTAGTACAACTCTCTAGCACTCTGAAGCAAAAAGCCTTGTTTTTAAGGATAATGTTAATTGTATATATTGAGATCTCAAAGGGCAACTTGTGCTGTGCAGTGTTCCTGATGCCCTACAAAAAGCAGGACAGATTTTGCACTTTATGCATCACATTCAGGTAGTCTATAAACTCTTGTATGCAGTGGCTTTTGCACCTTTAACTGAATTAAAGATGCATTTCCCAGCCTTCTGCCCAACTTCAGATTAGCACAGCTGTAACTACTCCTTTCTCCTTTTTATGGCCTGGACTTCTAAGATGCCTAAACTAGATTTGGATATTAATAGAATTGCACTTGATATCCCCTTGTTCCACGCTTTGACACTTTCCCTTACTTTCTTCCCATAGTGCTCTGTAGTGGGTATTGTGATTCCTGACCCAGAGACACTTCCAGGATTTGCCGGAAAACGAGGAATAAAAGGCTCCTATGAAGAAATCTGCAAAAACTTGGTAAGTAGCCTCATCAGTATCTTGAGTGCATTGTGACCTAGAGGCTCTTTCCCTTGTTCTTGTAAACTTTTTTTTGAGTGGAAGCTGAGAGTTGAACCATTTAAATAAACTGGTTCTATCAAGCCCACCATCTGTAACAAAATGCTGCATCAAGGGGTTAAAAGTCCTGATGTCTTGTCTTGGCTCCCAACAGTCACCGGGATCCTTAAACACTTTTCAGCCTTTCCCTAGCTGTACAGGGGTAACAAAGGCTTCAAGGTGCTAACAAGGGTGCTTCAAGCTCCAAGTGTTTATAAACTGGGATTGAGGATTGCAAATACTCTTGGAAATGAGATTTACTTTTTTTTTATAGGCTATGGAAGGGAGGTATTTCTTATGTCTCCATTCCACTTATGTGCTGGTTGAATATGGTGGATTTCCTTATCAATCTATTCTGGACCTTGTTTGTTCTTTCTTTTTAGGAAATAAAAAATGCTATTTTAGAAGATATGATCAAGCTGGGGAAAGAAGCTGGCCTTAAATCCTTTGAACAAGTGAGTAGTTCAACTATGAATTGGGTGAATCCATTGGCCCTCCTGCTTGGATCAAAGCAGTGTAAACCCCAATTGAATGGAACCCCTTGGTGGTCGTGGGAGGTCGGGGGCAGCTGCATTTGTAGCTGTCCTTTTTTTTTTTTTTATGCCTGCTACTCCATGAGGACCCCAAAAGTAGTGCTACCCCTTTTATACAGATAAATGGTAGATGCCAGCATTGCTACAGCTCTTGCTGTTCCTGAGCATGCTGTCAATGCAGAATCTCTCAGAATTAAATTTTGATTTAAATACTGTACTTTCTGACATGGCATATGCTGCCAATTCTTTAAAATAAGCACTTCCCCTCTTCATCCTATCCCCCACCCCACCTTTTTTTTCCCCCTTAGTTGGGCTGTCCCTGTTGTATGAAGCCTCTCAACTTGCCCTCCTTTTCTTGCTCAAGTGAAAAGGGCAGATCCAGGGTTTTCAAAAGAGTTAAAAATAAGCTGCAGGGCTGTGAAAAGAGGGAAGAGACTAGGAGTGACCGCATGGCAAATTCTTCAGCAAAACTGCCTAAGAAAAGAGCTGCTTTAGTGGTCTTGATATCCACTAAAGAGCATTAACATCACTAGTGAAGAGTTATTTTTAACAGAAATCTAGTAGATTCCAGTTCTAATGGGCCATGAAGCCAATGGACTTGACACTGCCTAAAGAGAGAGGTCACAGCTGCTACTATGGGCAGAAACACAAAATCTACTTCCCTGCTTAAGGCTCATCCCAACTTTGAAAGGCAACTCTTCTGGAGGGAGGGAGTGCAACTATTGTGCAAGTAAATATGGTACTCTGACTTGGTTCTAGGACCACCTTCGGATGTTACTGTGCTGAGGCACAAACCTTTTTTTTTTTTTTTTTTTTTTAATTCCTAAAATCAGGTTAAGGACATCTACATTCATCCAGAAGCACTCACCATTGAAAATGGATTCTTGACCCCAACACTGAAGGTGAAAAGAGCGGAGCTTACTAAATACTTCAAGCCTCAAATTGAAGACCTCTATGCAAATATTAAGGAATAAGATGGCTTGTTTTCAATAAGTTTACAGATTCCCATGGAATAACAAAGTAACCTCAGGACAGTAGTCCACTACTCAAAGCAAGTGGAGTGGGGAGTGAAAGGAACTCTTATGTGAAATTTTTCCCAAAAAATTATGTGGGGGAGGAAAGGAAGCAAAGGACTTGACTCGCTTCCAAATTTTTTTTGTACTACGAAGCTGGTTATGGTTATAACCATAAATGAAGATGTAATGTTTCAATTGGATTCTTCTGGTGATCAAATGTTCTTGGGAACACAACTAGTGCAAGCAGTTTTGGAGTTGCTTCGTTCCCTTGGCACAAGTAAATTTAACTTCCCAAGGCAAGACTTGCTACAAGGCAACTGAGCAGGTTCCAAAAAGCATTTAATCTTCCCCCCCCCCCCCAAACTTTTGTATTAGTTTTTGTTGCCCTCCACTACTTTATTCAACTTCTTGAAGCTGTTGGCTGGAAGATTAACTTTAAACTTGCAACCATGTGTTTGTGTTTTGTTTTGTTTTGTTCAGGCAGCATTATGCTGACAGCTAGGCCAAATTCTTCACCATGAACTCTGAGCTTGCCACACTCCTGAAGCTCTTCAGAGCAGGAGTCTCAAATACTGGAAGTTCATGCTACGCCTTCTGGGAAGTCTGGCATGGTCTCACTCCTTGCCAACACTTTTGTGGCCTGCCAGTCCTAAACTTGAACAGGGCCTCTGTCATTGTTCACATCTAGTCTTCCTGAATTAACTCTTCTAGCACGATGACTAGAGTCAATGAAGTTGCAATGACTTGACTGCACAATGTGCTGAGCTACTTGAGACACAGTAGCTGAAGATGTTGTTCTTGAAAATAGTAGTGGCCATATTTGTTGAAAAGTGATGGGTTATTAATAAGCCTAAAGCCCTGTACTTCAGCTGTTGTCTATAAAGGTTATTGCTGTATGTAAAGTGATGAATGATGCAGTTATAAAATTTATTAAATTCAGGTTTTGACATTCTGTACAAAAGGGTGTTCCTATCAATGGGTTCAGTTTTACCTGTAAGATGAGGATGTATGCATTTCAATGGTAATCAGTTGTCAGCTGGCTTACTGTAAGCATGATACTCTGGGCTGCAAAGCAATGGAGCAGTAGTAGTTAGCTGTGTTAGCCTGAAGTAGACTGTCACCTTCTTCAAGCTGAGGCTTCTCTGAACCAGGTGCCCCTCTGCCCTACCTTGAGCCCCACAGAGGAATAATTTACCAGATTAAATATCTTGTTTCTCTGATAACTGGACACTAGTTGCTTGAAGGGCTGGGCTAAAGCCTCCACTCAAGCCACCAGAAAGTGCCAGATACACCAAACAAACAGCATTGTTGCATTACCTGAGCTATTACAAATACTAACCCCTGAGTTCAACTCTGTAACTAGCAACACCACAACAAACAGCTTAAGTTAATGAAACTCTTTTTTACTCATGGAAGGGAAGTAGCAAGCAGTGATGTGTAAGACAAGAGACATAATCATAGGTTATTAAATAATACAGATTTGAAAGATTCCATTACGCAAAGGAATTCAATAATTAGCCCAGTAGTACCTGCTTACCAAGGCACTGACACAAGATTGAAGTCTGCTTTAAAACTTGATGCATCTTATAACAGTATACACCTTTTTTATAAGGGTGCCTGTACGCAGCCCAGGCTTATAAAATTTAAAAGTTGTTTATTTTGGAGCATTGCATCTGTGTTTATACACACTACGTTTTCAAACTCATTAAACTAGGTCCCTGGCTTGTGTTGCAGGAGAGTGGGATGGTGCAGTGGTGGCCCCCATGCATTCTGTGTTTGTGGCCATACCCTGCCATGCAGCTGTGGAAGCCAGGAGCTGGCAAACCACAAAATGTAGAAGCAATTCAAAAGCAATAGCAATTCAAAGGGGTGAACTACAAAAAAGTTGCAGTGCCATCTGGTGGACAGAAAGGATCATTACACATCTTTAAGTGCCTGTTTGCATGCAATGAATCCATGGATGCAGTGCTTTAAGGTCCAGTAAGCCAAACTGAACTATGTCTGAGGAGTTTTAATTTAATGCGCAAGAAAGACTTAAAATGTTGGGACATCCTGCTCATGCAGACACACAGTTTCAGCACATGAAAGGGCAAAAACCATAGTGTGTACACGAGCCCTTCATGCCTAGTGTGCCAGCAGGGCCTACAGTGAGCCTGCAACTGTTCTGAGGCTGGAAGGAGATAAATATACATCTTTATCTAGATACACCTTGACCTTCTAAACTCAAGCCACCTTTTGAAAAATGCCAGCTCCTTAGCTTTCACTCTTTCTCCATACTCAAGAAACCCCCTCCCATATAATCCCTCTGTTGCAAAAAATTCAAAGCCTGTGACAGCTCAGAAATGCTACCCATACGTGCTCATTGGCATTCTGCTTGGACTGCATCAGAGCAGACTCAATTAATCGAGTCTCCTCCACATTCTAATTGGAGCACTCCAGCACCATGTGCATTGAGCCCCTGCACATTTAGAAAACGTCATCTGACAAAAGATCAATATGAAAAATGCCATTTTTCACGGGAGTAATAAAAGTCTCTTTCAACAATGAATGCAAAATACATCTTTAAAATCACCTGTGAAAATGAATGTGTTGCAGAGGAGTTGTGAAGGCTCACAATTTTGCTAGGTGATTTCCTAAGATTTGTTCTGCTGTTTTCTCTGCATTAAGTGGAGCAATTTTGAAATTACTGTTTGTTTTTCCAGCAAAGTCCAGTAACAGAACCTCAGACCAGATACCATCTATTCAAAGCAGTCAGCTTACATTCATATCCACAACTATTTCTACATTAAATGGATTAGTGAATTCAAAGTTAATTACTACAACAGGCATTGTAGATGGTGCAAAAGCTATAAAGAAACTGCAACAGGTTTGCCAAATATTGCACATTGCAGTTCTGAGTACCTTAAACCAATGTATGTCAATAGTGTCCACTTACCAAAACTGTCCCACCAGACATCAGGAGAACAGTAGCAAGCAAAATAAAATGCACCTAGCAAGGTGAAGATAAGAAGCATCCATCATCCACTACATGGCCACGTTGAAAATCTCAAAAGTTTTTCTTCTTTCTGATGTAGCCACTGGACAGAATAGACAGCTACACCAATAAAAATGTGGCTGTCATGACCAGAGATGACCCAGGAGGGAGTAAGGATGAATTTCAATAGTGTGGAATAGCTCCCTGGAGGTGAAGAGCTTGATTAGCCAACATGGAGAAGCCTGAACTGCTTTGAACAAGGGCCAGTAAGACTTAAGTTAACACATAACTGCAGGGGGAAATGTTTAGACTACAGAACACCTACTAGCCTTCCCACATATGGGTAAACTGTCATCAGGGACTTTACTAAGCTACAGATCAATCAATAGCACATACTGGTTTTGGGACTCAGATTTGAACATGGTGGCAGGACATGAGAAGTGCTCTATGTGCCCCTCTATACATGCAGACAAAGGCATGATGGGATCTAATGCATGATCCACACCATCGTGCACCCTGCCATACCATGTTTCACATATCAGAAGGCTGGGAGATTGCAGCAACTGCAATGTACCCTGGGGCAGGGAGATCACAGCCATCCATGCCCCACTGGACTCTTGGTCTTGGAAGCTGTGCGTGCTGCCAAGATGCAGCATCAGCAGTTGCTGGGGCTGAAAGACCCCTCAGTGGCAGGACTCTTAGCCCTGGCAGGGCATGGTGCACCCCTGTGGCTGGAAGCGCTGTCAGCTGAGGGGCTCCCAGCCTCAGGGGAGACCCTGCTACATGTGCAAATTAAAAAACTCAATAGCAACTAGCTATAAAGTTAGTACACAACTTTATAGCTGGTTGGAGCTTTTTATGGCATGACAGGCACTTCGCAGGTCTAGCTGGCCTCAAGGTAATAGTGCAATTAGCCAGTTAATTGAATGATACCTGTAACATGTAGAAGGGGCCTACCACATCTATAGCTAGAAAGTTCTTCCCAATAGCTAACTAAATGTCCCTTGCTGCAGTGTTAAGCCTATTAGTTGTCCTGTCCTTGTTTGATATACGGAACAACTGAGCCATTTTCTCTAACTTTTCTGTATTTGAACTCTTGCTAATCCCCCTCAGAGCCCTTGACTAAATCCTGGTGCTTACAATTTCTCATGTCACAATTTGTTTGCTCTCCTTTGGACTTCTTGAGGTTTGCTGCCATGTCTCTGGAAGTGCAGTGGCCCACAGTATTCCAGGGGAACTCTCACCAGTGCTGAAGACAGCAGAGGGAATGCCTTTTGTTACTTGTATAATAATGGGTCGGAGCTGGTGCATAAAGCACTAATAGAGTGACTGCGAGTGCGGATAGGTATTATGGCCCTACTATAAGTCATGGTGCTTTACATAAAGCGCCATGAGTTAGAGCATCCCTCCTGCCACAACCCAATAGATGTTCACCTGTTGGACTGGGGGTGGGAGGGAAGGGAAGGGGAAGGACTGGAGGCAGCCTACATTGGCTCAGGTCAGCAGGTGGGAGTGCTCCAGCAGTCTCCCAGGAGGCTGCTGAACCACCCTCCCCCACCCTCAGCTCTGCTGTCACTGAAGGAGCTCCCAGCTGCTGAATGGTTAAAGTTGGGGAAGTGGCAGGGAGGGGGGCAGTGGAAAAGGGCCTCTCACCTTGCAGCCCTACCCCAGCTACTCTGGCTGGAGCACTGGGGGGAGCTGGGTCAGGCTCCTGAGATAAAGGGACTCCATTCCCCTCAGCAGCCCCCAGCTCTGGCCATTCAACAGTTAGCAGCTCCCTCTCCTTTCCCCCAATGTCCTGAGTGGCAGACCTGGGCACCAGTCCAGCCCTGCACCCCATGCAAAAACCCTAGGAGGAACACAAGTTCACTAAGATGCTCTGCTTTTGAGCACCCTAATGTAATACCTGATTTAACCAGGGTTAAGTTTTTGTGTAATTGGCCATTTTTAAAGCTCCCTGCAGCCATGCCTGTGTGTTAATTCATGGCTTTAGAGCACTTTCAAAGGCCAGATCACCCAAAAAAACTGTCACTTCCACCTGCACCCTGCATGTCTAACTTGCAATCTGAGCTCTGTTGTGAGGATTATTAGCAGCACTAAAACATAAATTTAAAAAATTGCAAAGGGGTGGCTTAGAAAGGAAGGGTTTTATATGGGAGTAATGAGTTCTTGTACAAAAATTATTGAGGGACAAGATATATTGGTAGAGTTATCAGATATCCTTGAAATGTTGGGTGGGAGGTCTCTCTTTTTTTTTTAATTTATCTGTCCACAGCAGAAAGGTAGCACACACTTCTCCCTGGTCTGGGGAATTGTACAGCCCAAGCATACTGGTAAAAATTCCTTAGTAGCTTGCTAGCTATTTGTTCTTTAAAGCCCAAAGGGTTGCTTGCTTGCTCCCTCAACAGGCTGGCACCCAAATGAGTGCTAGAACCAGTCAGGTCTTTATCTGCTAGTTCAGGAGTCACCATTAATCTACATTCAGCAGGGCCGTGGGAAGGGAATCTTCAAGTGCCTTCAATCTAGGAAAATGGCTTCAGGTGCTTCCTTAGGCACTAATACTGTATAGAACCAGCCAGAAGAATAGAGGAGTGAAAAAGACTCTCTCCTCCTCCTCCTCCCCTACACACACATTGCGACTCTCCTTTCCCTGGCAGAAAAAAAGGTTTGTTTCTGCTCAGCTCTGAACCCCACCTAACTGCTGCCTGAATCTTTCCCTGAAGAGTGAAGATCTTACTTTCAGTACAAAGAGAGGCATCATTCCCATTACCATGTGCCCAAGGCAAGCCACTGGGCTCCAAAAACTTCTAGGTAAAATGACCCCAGCAGCCACTACCACAGGGGACAAACCAGAGAAGAAAGGGTTAACTTCTGAGCTTTTCATCCCACTTGTTCACTACCAGCATTAATTACACAGGGAAGATAATACATGTGGGTTTTTGTCTCTGACCCACTCTTGACAGAAATGTGGAAGGTTTACT